GAAAGGATAATTAGTCCACAGCTTGCTTTTCATTTTATTTAATTTTCTTTACTTCTGTTTGGGGGAGAGAAAAAAAGGAAAAAAATGTACATAGGGATTGTGTTATTTTTGCAATGAGCAAAATGAAGCTGTTTGATTTATGCTCGCTCACAAGAGATAGCATGAAAATGGTACCATGTATTTTGCTGAATGATTTCTTGCAATTGGACATCCAAAAAGCACATTTTAATCTCCATGTATGCTTTGTTATTGTGTCAAATTATGAAGAGCAGGCATGGGAAGCTGCCCGATGAAGAATCCACTTTTCTATTAATTTGGATGTGTTAAGCGCACTTTCAGAAGCCAGAAATATTCTTGTAAAAATAAGATTGTGCAATGGGATTTCTTCCTAGGGCAACAGTCATCTCCAGGGAGTCACCATCCCTGGAGGTGCTCAAGATCCATGGAGATATGGCACTGAGGGACATGGTCAGTGGGCATGGCTGGGTGAGCTGAGGTTGGACTTGGTGATCTTGGAGGTCTTTTCCAACCTGGATAGTTCTATGGTTCTATACCAGCATTCATCATTGCTAAAATGAAAAGGGGTGAAAGAGTAATATCTCCAGTTAACAGTTGGCTTTGGTTCTGTCTGCTGGTTTGATCCTGTGGGGTAGGAAACCTACAGACCTACCAGAGCAGAGGATTTGGGGCTCTGAACTCTTTCTTGCAATTCCAAATTCATTTTTCTTCTGTCACAATAGTCCAAAACAAAAGGTGTTCTGGCACAAAGTGATTTTTCAGTGAGCCAGTCCACAAGTCCACAATTGTTCAAAGCCAGAGACCCACTCTACTGGGCCCCAGCACCTTGAACAGATGCCTCACCCCATTTTTGTGGATAAGCTTCATGGCCAGGCAGTAGAGAAAATGAAGAGAACTGGAACTGAAGGGTTTTCTGTTTCAGCTGCAGGGAATTGAAATCTGTGTGTTTGGGAAAAAATACCTAGAGCTGTATGGGTGCACAGAACTGCTTCCAGGTGGAAGAGAGCTCAGATGTGAGCGGTCCCTCGAGCTCCTGGCCAACACCACTCCTGGACTCTCCTAAGGGTGATGCCTCCTGCACAGCTGCAGTCAGTAAGGCATGAAAGAAATAAGATGTGAAACAGTGTAATGTATGAAATACGAATGGCACAGCAGCCTTGGATTACAGCAAGTCCAGCTGAATGTCTGGTGGTCCCCTTTACTTTTATTTCTATTAATATTCCTCAAGCAACAGCAAAGATTGATTTGAAGTAGAGGGAACAGAGAGTCATGGGAGCTTCATTAGCATGCAAATCTGAGCGAATTCATTAGCCCTGCAACTGATGCTGATGCTCCTGGAAACTAGTAAAAGAGTAAAGTCTGCAGAAGTAAATCAGGCCGTGCTAATGAGCCTGTTAATAAAGCTTTTGTAAGCCTTTTCCAGAGCCAAAGTGACAAAGCACACTGTCAACATTAAACCTCTGGTACTGTGCCTTAGATGAGGGGCACTTTTTTTTTCCATTTCATGCTGGGGAAAAAAGCGGAGAACCGTAGCAAAGGTGGAAAATGAGACAAAAGCATTTACAATATTTCCTCATCAGAGATAGAAGTATTGTGTGGTTGCAGAAAAGAGACAGCATGACAAATGCAAGTGTGCAAATAAGATCCGTTTGACTGAAATTATATTTTAAAGAAAAACAGGAGACCAAATTTTTCATAACTGAGGTTTCACCTTCTGGCTGTATGTTCTCATTTTCCCTGTGCCTTATTAGGCATCATTTCAAGATTGCATTTCGTCTCATCCGCTTCTAATCGTGCAGCAATGCTTACAGCACGGATGCGGTGCCGCTGCAGCACCTCCTCACACATGTGGGTGCTTTGTGCTAAAAGCATCACCGCTTTGCTGGGGCTGTAGCACGGCATCTCCTCCTCTATCTCCCATTTTGCTGCCACTTCAGGATGAGCAAAGTTGGAGATCTCTTTTCCTGGTATGTTCTCCAGGTGGGATGTACGGCCATGGAACCCACAGGGAGTGATGTTGGCAGCCAGCTCCTCTCTCCAAGGCTTCACGTGGCATCAGCATCACAGTGCACAGAAAAGCAGTGGGTCCGTCAAGATAAGGAGAGGCTGGGTTGCAATCTGCTTGGTTTCTTTTTGCAGAAACCTCTTTTGTAAAAGAGCCTGATGCGGGGAGGAACTGCTCGCTGCTTTCTCATCAAGTGGAAGAAGTGCTTTATGCACAGTCTGATGGAAAACTACTGGAATGCTTTTCAGTTTCCCTCTCTAACCTTTAGTGCTTTCTGGTGCCTTACAGGGAACAAAACGTCAGACTGGAAAAAGGGGGAAAATATATAAAAATGTATTTGGAGATAATGGCGGGTAATACAATAGAAAATGCAGCCGGGCAATAAAAGGAGAGGCATCAAAAACACCACCAGAGAGTGGAAGGGAGGAAACAAGGCAAGGAAAATGGTAAAAGCGAGGAAATGAAGAGAAAATAGGCACTTGCATAATGGGGTGACGAAGGACAAGAAGGGGAGGAAGGGAAGGCAGGGCGGGAAGAAAGCTGGAGGAGAGGCATGCAGTGAGTGATGGAGCAGGGTCAGGGGCAGGCACAGGCAGGGAGGAGAAATGGAGTGGAAAGGAAGCAAAGGGAAGCGTGGTGTGGTGGCAGCGCTGCTGACCTGTTTGCTTTTAGCTGCAGAGTGATGGCAAGTGTTTGTGTTAATAATGCTAAGGGCTGGCTGCCTGGGGGCAGGCGGAGCAGGGCTGGCAGGTGCCAGGGATGTCCTTCAATCAGCACAACAGGCTGTGCTGTGGCTCCTTGGACTGAAGGGAGGGGAAGGCACCAAGAGGTAGAGAGAGACAAGGTGGGAGGAAAGACCTATGGGGTGCCAACACGCCTGCCCTGCTTCCTTCAGTGCTGATAACCTGCCAACCTGCCAGAATCATACATAGAATAGTCATTAAGGTTGGAAGAGACCACTAAGATCATCCAGCCCTACCAGCAACCAATCATCACCACACCCACTACACCATGTCCCTCAGTGCCAGATTTACCCTTTTCTTGAAAAAAAAAAAACCTTTTCTAGAAGGTATTTGCTTTATTGCCCTGCACCTCCTGATGGCTGAGTTTGATTTGATGTGATACAGGAGATCTTTCTGCCCTGGCTTTCAACCTCACCAAGGTATTTTGTCCTGCTTGGAATCCCATAAGCACAGTGCCATAACACTTCCACTCAGCTGCATTTCTCACAGCTGATGCATATTTACGCTGCACAGCACTCAACGTGCCATGCTTGAGGTGCAGTCTCACTGGTGTCTTACATACCAGCTGCACCATCTGTTTGGATTCCTCTTTCTTTTGTATTACATCACAACATCACGTTTTCTTTCTTTCTTTTTTTTTTCTTTTTTTTTTTTTTTTCCTTCAGCTGCAAAAGCTTAGGGAACATTCCTACAATACCACCCTTCCAGCTTGGTTTAGTAGATATTTGGGCTCTTTCATTCTTAGCTGTCGAATTACATTTGGTTATCAACATGCATTATATCTGCTGTCAATTAGCTGTTATCTAACACCATGAAATGACTTAACTCTTTCAGCATGCTATGTGATCTGTCCCCAACCAGAGCACCGCTCAGCTTATGGCAGCTTGCAGAGATCCAGGCAGTTTTGTCACACTTATTTTTTTACTAGCACTCATTACAGCTAAAGGTCAGTTGTGTTTCCATTGTAAGCTCAGGGATAACAGCGCCGATCTGGCAAACCTTTTCTCATGTAAAGTTAACGGGATTATTTGCATAAAGATCCTTACTTGGGGAGTAATTTGCACGATCACACTTTTAAAGCCTTAACCTTGGGAGCAAGGCAAAAGATGGAACTTGGAACAGCAATCTTCCAAGGCTATATATTATCAGAGAAAATGATCAAAATTTAATGAGGAAAAAAAGGTACTTAATGGCTGTAGATAGCGTAATTTCAGCCATAAAAATGGGATGATCTTGTAATGCGCTGTGCTGCGGCCTTTCAAATCAATGCTAGCTCCGGTAGCAGCTTTAGTAGTAGCAGGGCAGCGATCTACAAGCTGTCGAGCAGAAGTCCTAACCTGCTGCTCCAGGCACACGGCAGCTCTGTAACTCTCAGAGCGATGGAGTGCTTGGGTGAGCGACTGGGGCTTCGTCCTCCATGAATCTGTGCTGCAAACCCTTGCAGGATGGCTGCTCCCAAGCAAACATAGCTACAAGCCACGCTGGCCCTGAATCAGGGCCAAAGCTCCGGGCATCCCAGGAGGGTTTTTCATCTGCTCTCTCAGCAAACATCAAGCATCAAAGTTTCACCAGCTCTGTTGTTTGTAATTCAGGAGAGTCCCTGGACTCCAAGCCACCAGCCTGGAAGATCTGTTTACATTATAAAATATATGCTAAATTGTAAGCCCTGAGACAATTAACAGAAGTCAGGTAAATGAAGCAACAAAGATGGAATGGGCTGAGGCCTTCACTTAAGCCTTGGGTGAATATCCCTATTGCATTTTCTTGAACAGCCCAAATAACAAGAGCTGGCCTTCACACCTGGGCTGCATCTGAGAGGCAGCAGCACTGAGATGGAGTTGGCCCTTGGAGAGGAAGTATTAGTTCTGGACAAAGGCGCTGCTTTATTTTCCCAGTGTACCAAAATTAGAGAACCCCCTGGTGCTAAATAATTTTGTTCTGCCTCACTGTGAAAATTCCCAGTGTTCAATAGCCCTCCACAAGCTCTCATTTTATCCCCATAGTGCAGCGCTCCTGTGGTTATATGTCAGCTGCTGCAGTGGTAAACATGTACACACTACTCATTTAAGAGCTTTTAAAAGACTTCTCACTGTGCCCAGAAATTACACCTGTGCTTTCTTACTTACCCATGCTGTTGTCTTTGTTTCTCAGGCTATATTAAGCCTTCCATTCTTCCCCCTTTGAAAGAGCAGGAGAGTATAAACATCTTTAAGTTCTGGCTTTCTCTCTATCAGGTTGTACAGAGGGACAGAACCAGTAAATATGGACAGAGGGAAAGGCAGAGGGCTGCGTGCAGTAGGGCTGGCAGATGATGCCTGCTCCTCCTGAAGGCACAGAACACGCACAGGAGCTCCATGGTGTTGACTGAAATCCCTGTCAGCTGCAGTGCTCGACTTCCTCGGGATAGTGACCTGTGCTATTCTGACTGTGTCTTCTTTATCCATGGATGATGAAGAGAGACAGAGCACACGGTGCTCGGAGGAGCTGCATCTGCAGAGGGGAAGGTACGTGTCACAGTGTAATGAGGCATTGGCCTCCAGTGAACTTTTCCATCACAGGAGAATATTTCAATGTTAAAGATGATTTGCTACAAACAAGAAGGAGAGGAGACGTGGTAGTAACATAAAATGCCATATCTAAGAGATTGTTCAATCTCTTTGCACTGCTAAAATGAGAGAACTGAAGTAGAGGTCTGCTGACATCACTGCTCAAATTCTCTGTCCAAGATTTTGTGGGGAAACTTCCACTGAAACAAAAAGATTACATATCTTTATATACAAATACATATCTTTATATGTGAAACTACTTAAATATCTTAAATATCTACTACTTAAATATCTCTGATAAGCTAACAGAGCTTTGGATGACAGGAATTTTGACCTATGAAGCTCTCTGAGTCAAGGAATGACTAAGAAAATAACCCAAAGGCTCTGGAAGTGGCAGTCTGGGCCATGTTTAGTACCTCTTCTCCACAGATGTTAACCACAAACCTTCACTCCTCCATCAGATCCCATACACCTCGAGCATACAAATGCATTTTTAGCAGCTTCTGTGTGCTGCTGCCTTAACTGGATCCTTGTGGGATCCTTCAAGACAAAAATGCCCATTCTTAATTAAAGAAATGATCCTCTTTTGGCTAGGGCTGTTTGGATATTTGGTTCAGAACATAATTTAATGTACCTTGAGCAGGAAAATTCCTGACTGAACTTGAAAGTTGACTGAATTTATCTGATTCAGCCCAACCCAGTGGCTCTACCATAAGAGCCCCCAAGCATACATCATGGTGGTGGCTGCTATCTAGTCTGGATCCCAGTGTCAGCAGGCCACCATCTTCCACAGATCTTTATGTACTTTTTTAATGGGATCAGATCCAACTTTTTCCCACGCTACACCCAGATTGCAATGGCTTCACTGGGTGTCACTGTTAAATATCTGCTCGTGTGCCTCTGCTAAGAACCTTTTCTTAGAGGTTTATCCATTACAACTAATACATCATAAAACTCTTGCTCTGTATTTCACAAATGTTAGAACAATGCCCCAAGGGCATTGGCAGTAATTATGTTTACATCTTTAGAAATGCCTTCCACCCCCTCTCCCCCCATCGTTCAGTGCAGCTCTTGAACCTCTGAATGGTACATTGGGAGTATCAGCACGTCTCCTCTCGAGCGCAGATCCTGCCTCTCCATTCTGCAAGTGAAATTATCTCTGTATGTCTGCACCCATGAAGTGCACTTGTGCTTCCAACTTCCTCAGACTGTCAGACAGTTTGCTGTGCCACTGCTCCTATTAACGCCTGCAATTAGCACTGACAAATACATTGTTCCCCCTGCTCCCCAAACCACACTTCCTTGACTTTTTAGAAAACCCCAGAGCAGTGTAATGTCTCCCTGGGTCATATTTCAACAGAACAATGAGGGTAGTGAGGCATGACAGTGATCTTTTTTCTAAACCTATTCTGAACATCCTTAATCAAGCTTTGCTTTTTAAAAAAAGAATGGGCCTAATTCTCTTTAGGCCTATGGTATATTCATGCTTTGTAATTCCATCAAGCTGTATCTTCAGCTCCTCTAAGGTGGCAGAACTCGTTTGACTTCACTTAAATTCCAGGAAGATTAGTAATGGCTGAAGACTTGGGCTGCTGGTTTCCAAACTATTCCTCATCTATGCCAGTTTGAAAGGATAATGAGTCCCAAGGTTTGTTTTTGTTTTTCTGCCATTAGATCAATTAAAACAATTGCATACTCTCTAACTCATTTAAATCAAATGTTGCACAAGATACACCCAACAGCTGTTATTTCCCTGAGGTGTTGAGCCTTCTCCATTCCTATTCCATTACAAAGCTCTGACACCCAGTAGCTCCTGGAAGCATGCACAAATCTCCCTAAAGGCCCGTATTAGGACCAGTCTGGGTTTTGTTGCTCTCTACACTAGATGTGGTCTTCTAGGATGGAGCCACATGATGACATACAACCATGGGTGGATTACTCTGCCTCCAGGAGGAACATATGTAGATACTTCAGTGTGTCCCATCCACAATCAACAGATACAGAACCCTCAGCCACTTCACTTTGCAGAGTCCTGAAATGCAGTAATTATATTCTGTTTTCCTCTTTCCCTTAATTAATTCCTATATTCAGCTGTTGTGCATCCGCTGGCAGCAGCCAGTAGCTACAGCTCTGGGATAGCCACAGGCAGGTAACAAAAGTGAGGAGGATGGAGTCAGCACGTTTCTTTCTGGTGTCATGGAATTTGTCTTTGGTAAGATCATGGGCACTCTGAAATGCAAGAAAGATGTGAATCAAGAAAGAAATGTGTTGAAGGACTGCTGGCTGCAAGTCCATCCCCAGGATCAGAGAGCACATATTTATACTGTAGGCACAGTGGTTTGTCTGATAATAGATTGACGTTTAATTTAGGTACAGACTCGGTGATAACTGAATCCCACCTGGGACTTCTGGGAGCAGAGCAGGGCAAATAAATGATGATGTCTGTAGCTGCAGATAGAGATGCTGTTACTAACTCCAATACTGCAATGGGTAAAACTGTACACAGGCTGACAGATGAGAGATTTCATTGGCTTCAGATGCAAGAAAAAAGAAAATAAAACTTGAAATGAATTTTCTTGGATAGAAGTGGCCACGCAGGAAGTTTTAATATCCATAAATCCACTCTGTGGATCCCTCTGGTGGCTGCACCCAGTGCATCAATACAGCAATCAGGACTGTGGCAACTGAGCTTCTGTGGCATATTGCACCGTGCAAAATACAGACACCTACCAATGCATTTTGGAAACTCCCACACGATGATCTTCTACACACAGATTCACTTCAGCTCTCTGGCACTCTCAAAGCTGTAAAACCGATTGCCACAAAATGCTTCACTCTTTCCAGTTGTGCTTTGATGTCTTCATTATCTGGAGACTCCAGAGCAGGGCCATTTCCCCCAGATCAGCTAAAACATGATCAGATTTCTAAATGCTTCATGTCTGTGCTGTGTTTGGGGCTTGGCTACACAGGTCAGAAGAACATGGTGTCATTCTTTGCGGAGGACAAATCCTGGCATTTCATGTTTCTCTTCCTGTAGGGTTATTGCCATCATTCATCGCCTGGTATATGCTGTATGCTTGGTGGTACGAATCGTTGCTCCTGACCCTGCCAACGACATTAACAGAGAGAACAGTGTGCTTTTGTACAGTTGTTTCCTCTCAAATGCTATTCAGCCTCTGATAACGATTCAGATGAGTAAATCGGCACAGTTTTATGGAGGGCTGGAGTTGTGCCAGTCATGACTTGCTAGTTTTTGCAGCGTTTACAACAGCAATCTTTTTCTCCCTCAGTGAGAAGCCTTTCCCAAGATGACTCCAGACCTGGAGAAGACAGCGAGTGCCTACCATGGGGGGCTGTACTGGAGAGGTAAGTGCTCAAGCCGATACCTGTTCTCTGGGGAAGTTAATGTAGCATCCTTCCTCCATCTTCTCCCCAAAGCTTTGGTTTCTCTAAAACATCAAGAGATATTTTTGGTGTTGTTTTCAATTTTGATGTGACTGCTGACCTATAAAAGAGAAGGACCAACTATGACTGTAAATCCACGAGCGTTTTTTGTTTGCTTCAGCTTGATTCAGATATCACACCATGAGGTGTATATCAGAACTGAGTAATTATAGAGGGAACGAAGAGGTTCCCTTAGGTCTACATTTTCCTGCTGCGTGCTGAAGTGCCATCAGTGCTCCACTCCAGGAGAGCAGGAATTCTCCAGGGCATTAACTGTTTTCTGTGTGAGTTGGATACATTTGCCAAAATTTGTGTTTCAACATGCTGGTTCATGAAATCAAGAGCAGAAGGACAGTGCCTTTCCTCTCCCCACTGTATGTGATGGTTGAACTTGTAGAAATAAAAGAGTTCTTGAAAAACGCTCAGTGAATCTACATAATTAAAAATCTTTCCTGCTGGGGGTTAATGATTTGGGTAGATTAACTTGATAATGTAATGTAAAACGTCGAAATCAAGAGTCTGTATCCTGAAATACTGGTGTAGCTCAGTGATGGGAGACAGTTTTAAGTAAATAACCGGAGAAAGTATTTTGCAATTAAATTAAAGATGTTTCCAAACTACTGTACTTTGCCATAAAAAAAATGTCATCTTGAAAAGTCAAGTTTCATTTATTTTAATTAGTGCTGTCATGAAGTATTCCATTTGGCACACGCTGACTAACGAGCCCTTTTCCAGACACCAGTTTGAAAAGTGTGCATCAGAAAATGATCACAGCCCGTTCCCATGGTGTCTGTGGGCCAATTGTCAGCTAATTGAGCCTTGCTCCACCCAAGTGGCATCCAGGTTGGTCTATGGGGAGAGAAGAGCTTTCATCCCCTGGATTTGCCTTGTGGGAGGTAACGCAAATCTTGCTGCCATCGGTCAGAAGATTCCTGCTGTCTTCAGGGAAATTCAGGTTCAAAGATGCTGAATCTCCACTCCCCTTCACTGTTCTCACACTGAAGTTATTTAAGGGGAGAGGGATTGGTATCAAATTGATGGAAAGCCAAAATGATCTTGATCCTCCTCTGAGACATGCTGTTGAATTGCATTATATATAAGCAGAAAAGCTTTTCTATTATTAATAGGATAGAAAATCAGAACCATCAAGGAAAATTATATAAGTCCTATTAAGATGGATGAGTTTGAGTTATGTCCACGTGTTTGCAAGAAGATTGTTCTCTGCAGCTCCTACAAAAGTGTATTGTCCTCCCAAGGGGAGACCTCACCGGGGTGGGAGAATACCAGGGGAAATGCTGTTAACTTCTCACAGCCTGGTGGGCAGCTGCGTGGGCAACGAGCACAGCTATGCAGGCACCAGGCTGCCCCAGAGGATGCTCTGCACCAGGGTGAGAAGCCTGGGCCAGCCCCCCAGGAGCTGACCTCCCTTTCTTCTGCTTAAATCCCTCTCTCTGTTGTCTGCCTTGTTTTCAGACCTGCCAAATCTTGCAGTTCCTTCTGCATGTCCAATGAGGGGATTATTTTGCAAGCTTAAATCTCCCTGCTAAAAAAAGAAAGTTACACTGATAAATACCTGTTGTCTACACATTGAGGCTGCTGAGGAATAAGCTGAAGCGTGAGTGTGAAGGGCACTGTCAGTTCTGCAGAAATGGCTCTTATTTCACCAGGCTAATGTCACATCCAGAGAGCTCACAGCAGTCTTTGTGCAGGTATCCTCTGGGGAGCGAGTGAGAAGCAGCTATTCTGAGCTGTCCCCTTATTTAAGTAAGCCACATATATAAAATTTGATGATTCCTTATTAATTTCATCCTATTGCTCCTTGCTAAAGCCCCTTGTTCCACCTTAATTTATCCCTTCTGCTCATTAACACAGTTCAAACATTTCCCTTCCTAGCCAGTTAGCCACACTTTAATCTCACCTGGTTACTCATTCATCAGAAACCAATCTCTCCTTCCCCTCCATCAGCTCAGCACCACCTCCAGCATGCGTGCTGCTGATGAGCAGGACTGAGCACGGGGATCCTGGTGGCACTCACCAAGGGCTGCTTAGCATCACTCGTCCCACGCTTGCAGACCCTTCCCCAACCCTTCCCCTGCACTTCCATCACTTCCGAATGCAAAATGAAGGGCTGTTTTCCTCCTGCTGGTTCCCTCACATATCTTTTCCCCATTACTGCCATTTTGGGAGGAGTACAGGTCTTGCAGAACAGCTTTGTCTGGATAATAATAATTTTAATTTCCACTTTCAGAAGCTCCTCTTATCTCCTACCTGTGTGTAACTGATTGAGTGATTAGAACCTTCCCCTAGCACATCTCTGCCAGTTTGGAAATCAGCGAGAGTGCACTCTGCACCTGTAAGTGGGTCTTAATCCAAACATTTTATGCCTGAAAGCATTCAAGTGCTCAGACGATGCTCCCACCCCCCAGGGAAACACGTACAGACCTACCCTGTGTCTTCTACAGCAACAGTGTGACCCTGCTATCTACATGGCCCCCTGCATCTGATTTCATCTCCACTATTAATCTGAGGTCTTTGTAAAGGTTTGTTAGGTTTTGTTAGGTTGTAAACCTTTGTTAGTTTGTCTTTTGCTGTTATTCTCATGCTGAGATTTTCTAATGCTCTCAGCACCCTGGTCAGCTTTGTAGCCCCTTTACTTGGATGATGCTGGGCTATGACATCTTTCCTTCAAGGATGGTGTTACAGAAGCGATGGGTGGGCTGATGGGCATGCAGGAACCTAGAGCAAGCTGAGTGTCAGGTCTGGAGCCCAGAGGATTATTTTCTTGCCTACTCAAAACATCGCAATCTCTTTCTGATTTGGCATGGTCTCAGACTCCAGCCAAGCAATCCTTCCTGCCCTTTCTGCACTACTTTACAGTGGTGCCTTTTCACCTTTCTCTGTAAGGCTGCATTTGTCAGAGGGCAGAGCAGAACTCACTCTGTGTGGTCTCCTCTGCCTCCAGCAGCCACTCGCTCACCCGCAGAGGGGGCACGCTGGGCTGGTGATTGCTCTGGTCTCTTCTAGTCCTGTGTTCTTACCCTTTCCCAGTTTGATTTGCTTATGTTTTGCAATCACAGGGCTATTCTCAGTATCTTTTATTCTGTGCCTGGCTCCCATTAATGGTGTTTTTCTGCTCTTCCATTATTTTCTCCATATGGGGGGAACCTTACCTTCCCCCTTAATATCTTCTGCTAGAGACCACAGCTGCCAATATCTTCTCCTGTCCAGTTTCTCACACAAGTCTAAAAAGCAGACTCGATTGGATGCTCCTGCCCTGCACTTCTCATGAGCCATTTCTCAGGGTATGGGCATCTCTGCCTCTGTCAGAGCCAAGATAGCACGAGCTGATTTCATTTCTCCCAAGTAAGGATGGACTGAACTATCTGTGGCAATGTCAGAGATCAGGAGGAGAAGGAAAGAGCTGGGGCAGTGGAAAGGAGACCTGGTGATAAAAGAAATTGGTGAGATGACAGCAAGATGAGCTGTGATCTAAGCCCTCCTCATACCTTGTGTTTTTATATGTACACTCAAAACATATTTCAGGGATTGAGAGTGTTTTCTCCTTTCTGGAGATCTATTTTGTCATTACTTTAGCTGACAGCAGCTGGGGAGAATGAAACACTTTGGTTAGCCTCAAACACCTTGCTAAGTTTCCTTAGGTTGAAGCACTGCTGTGTTTCATTGCGGCTGACACCAATCAAAGCAAATGGACAAAAGTGAGCATTATGATTTTGGATCTGTGAAATGAAGGGAATAAGTGAAGGGAATTTGGACTCACTGTACAAAGGAAGTCCCAGGAAGAGGTTCATCTTATCAACACCATTTGCTTTGGGGGCAGCTCTTTTACAAGCAATTCTGCCTCTTCTACAAAGCTGTTGTGGCAGTCGGTGCTTGGCCCCATCTCTGCCCCTGGATTTTGTGATGCAGACAAGGTCATGGGATAGTGGTGCTGGGTCAACAAATAAAAGGAAAACAAACACTGAAGCTGTCCTTCACAAAAGATTGATCATTTGTAAGTCTGACCCCAATAGGATTAAATTGTTGTATATTTGCTCTGAGATGTCACCTATGGTCCACAGCAAGTTATTGCCTCATCATACTAACTGGGGTACAGTGACAAAAAGCTGTTGTGAAGATGCTGCCAGAGGCAAGAGAAACAAGCCTCTGTCCTGTCAGCAGGTCCCAGCCCAGCCCTCATTGCTCTAAATCATCTCAGAATATCCTCACAAGGCCTTGAGCAACAGGAAAACATCCCAAGACATCAGCGATCAACCTCAATGGGGGATGGGGAGGTTCATGTTGGATATTATGAAAAAATTCATCTCTGAAAGAGCAGCGATCCAGTGGCACAGCTGCCCAGGGAGGTGGTGGAGTCATCTTCCCTGCAGGTGTTCAAGAACTGCTGAGATGTGGCACTGAGGGATGTGGGCAGTGGGCAGGTGGGAATGGGTTGGGGTTGGCCTTGGTGATCTTAGATGTCTTTTCCGACGCTAATGATTCTATGATTCGATTGATGGGAACAGTGCAGGGATCAACCCTGCAGCAGCCATGGGGAGCTGCAGCGGGGCTGCAGCAAACACCTCTGTTGATGTGTTCATGTGAAGAGAAATGAGAAATGTTTGCAATGGCATGCAAAACTGTTTGAAATTCACAGTCTGTCACAGCCCATTGTGAATTCAAGAACAAACCTTTCTTCAAAGGAAATGTTTGTGATGGCATATCATGAAAGAACAGGCCACTTTCTAGCAAAAATGGTGAGGCATGCCTGCTCCTGAGTGAGGCTTTGATAACATGAGCCCATTTTCCATGGCTTTGGCATGAAAAACACAGAGAAGTGCACACTGCCCAAAGTCTGCACTGAAAACAGCCATGTTGTCAAAGAAACCAGAAGAATCATAGAATCATAGTATCATAGAATGGGC